AGAAATAAATGCAGATCCAGACTGCGACTTTGAAGGATCTGAAGACATTTTAAAAGGCAGTTGTAGAAGTTGGTGTCTCAGCATTCATGTGATATTGATTCCAGTAAAAATTAAACTCAGGATCTTTAGGGTTGCAAAGGACCTTTGAATATCATCTTGTCCAACACCACTGCGAGGCAGGGCCACCTAGAATCCTTTATTTAAAACAACCATCAATTTTCAGACAGTCGTAAAAGACCCACTCTGCTTTCTGTAGAGCTTTAGCAGAGTATAGGTTCTCTTCCATAAAGGTTTTAGCAATACTTTTGGAAGGAAATAATGTTTCATACTTGCACACTTAAATATTTAGTTGTTTTTCCCCAATTAAAAACTGATCTGCTGTTCAACACTGTGTACTTTCCTACTGTGACTGGTCTATGGTAACAACACAATATATTTAAAGATAATTGGAGAATAATTTAACAGCTTGTTTAAAGTAGCGATTGCACATCTTGCAAGATTTCACAATATCCCTATCTTTAGTTTCCTTCTGTGAGCAATACTAGGATACATTTCAAATCTCAACTCCTCTACTAACGTAATGTTGTATCCAGGTGTATTCAAGAGTCCACAAAGACATTAGTAAATGATCTGTAACAATAAATCTCCCAGGCGGGATTTTTTTCTTCTAATATTCTATGTGATGTTTACATTCCTATTGGGTTTTACATTGTTGTTGTTACCAACTGTTGTGGTTTAAGCCCAGCTGGCAACTTGGAACCACGCAGCCGCTCGCTCACTCCCCCCGCTTTTCCTTCCTCCCCCCGCTCCTGGAGGGATGGGGAGGAGAATCGAAGGAATGTAACTCCCACGGGTTAAGATAACAGCACTCCAGTAACTAAGGTATAATACAAACCACTACTGCTACCAGTAATAATGATAAGAGGAATAACAAGGGAAAAGGACACAACCGCTCACCACCCGCTGACCGATACCCAGCCCGACCCGAGCAGCGATCTGGGCCTTCCAGGTAACTCCCCCCAGTTTATATACTGGGCATGAGGTGCTGTGGTATGGAATAGCCCTTTGGCCAGTTTGGGTCAGGTGTCCTGCCTCTGCTTCCTCCTGGCTTCCCCTCCTCTCTGGCAAAGCATGAGACTGAGAAAGTCCTTGGTCAGAGTAAACATTACTTAGCAACAACTAAAAACATCGGTGTTATCAGCATTGTTCCCAGACTGAAAGTCAAAAACACAGCACTGCACCAGCTACTAAGAAGGAGAAAAAATGACTGCTGTAGCTGAACCCAGGACACCAACTATTTTACAAAAGTAGAAAGAGCTTTTTTTATTTCCCAAAAAAATTCACATACTGTGTGAACATTCATCTTAAGACTTTGAACTCATGAGATGGTAAGCTTTTATGGAGTGGGGGTTTATTTTTATATTCTGGGAGCCACTAATTAGTAGTAGCAGCAGGAAACAGTAAGGCATGCTGATGCAATATACCTGCCTCTAGGTGTCAGACAGTTCATCCTTCTCAACACAAGGATTAAAATCTACGCAGGGCACAGCATCAAAGAGCGTGAAACTCTCAAGCATATACAGAGCCCTGCAAGTGTTTCAGGTCTTGAAGGAGATAGCCCTGAAAGTAGTTCCATGAAATAAAACAAATAAAACCCACATAGTACAAAGAGCCAACACTTCTTCTAAAAGAAGTGAATGGATACCTCCAGAGATGGGACTAATTTATGAAGAAAAAAAAAAGATCAATATAAAAGAAACAGAAAAAGTCTATGCTAGACCAAAATGAAGGGCCAACCCCTGCAACCAAAGCTGCAGAGTGGAACTGCCCGTCTTGTGTAAGCACTTGCTTTTGTGTGCAAAAACCAAGTCAATATACTTTTGGCTGTTACACCCCAGAAACAGGGTAGGCTTGGAATTGAAGTGACTCTTATCATGGTCTTAGACTAGCCACCACTGGATAAGCAAAAATAATGTTATGGAATCAATAAAACCCACTTTAATGGAGAACCATATTAAATGAAAATCCTGACTACGATCCTAGGGTGGGAAAGGAGAAAGGCAAAGCCAAAGTTCCAAAGATCCAAAGCTAAACACCAAGATATCAGTACATGAAGTACTAACTTAATTTGACTAGGTTGGAAGGAATTATACTTGTGTTATAGTAGGAACAAAATAATAATATACATAAACATGCTCTTGCTTAGAATCACTTATCAAAATAATTTGAAGAGCATTAATATGTATAATATTTATATAAAATATTGCAATTTAGCTGGCAAAATGCAATACTCAGCCCTCTGAGACAAGAGAGAGAGTGTTCTCAAACAATCTCTCAAGCAATAAGCCCAGGCCAGAGTCCTCCGTCACTGTTTTCCAGCATACACACAAAACAAGGAATGCTGCATTTTCTATATAAATTGAAAGTTGCTATTGTACAAAAGTTGCTGTTTCCTGGTTCTCTCAAAGGATTTGCAGTATCTTGATTATGCCTTCCCTTTAAGAATTCCAAAGTCTAAGAACTTCCGAGTTATCCAAATTCAATCTGTCATTTCAGCCTGATCGTTAATTTAATGGAAATGAAGTACACACTTCTCTCACGGAGAGTACATAAGGCCACTTCATGAGATTTAGGTACATCTAGATTCCTCTGTATTCTTGGTCTTCATTGTTTAGTCCAGCTATTTATTTGTGACAATTTTCAGCAGCTGCTTTCCCTTGCAACATAGCCTGCTAAAAGAGCAGGGCACTTCTGTAAATATTGTCCCTCATCATATACTTCCTTTCAATATTTAATCACTGCTTCCATTCAATTTTTCACTGCTGTTCTCACAAACCCCACTTCAGGATCATCTTTAATGGCCTATCAGCTGTTTCCAAGGCATGTCTAATGCTGCTGCAGTCCAAATTTAGCTTTATTCCTCCAGCTCTTTACCCTCTGTCTACTTAAATAAGCAACCAAAAGACCTATTTTTATTTTCTAATGACTTTTGGGATGGGTTTCAAATGACTGCTGAACTCATACATGGAATATTTCTCCATCTTCAAGCCATGAGAGAAAGATCTACATAAGCCATCATATCTTAGTTAAATTAATTACATATAAAGAAAATACAACTAATTATAACAAAATAAGTAAAGGAGATGCTAGGTCTTTGTTTATACTATCTTAGTAACTTAAGCCATTTTTCCAGTATTCTTCTCAAAAGTTTGGAAGCAGAGGGAAGCAGTGTGAAGCTGGATTACCAGTAAGCTTAGCATTCAAATATCAGTTCAATGAAACAGTGAAGGAAGAGTAAACAAGCAAATATGGTGGAAGGTGCAAATGTGTTTGGAAGGGAAGAATGGAGCTCAAAATAGAAGAGAAATCAAGTAGCACCATGAAATATTTGTAAGTCTAGGAAGGTATAATCCAGGAATCATTATACACCAGCAGCAAAGGTCAAATGCTATTTGTTTGAACAGTATTGTTAGGAAAAAGAACAAAGGCTTCTGTTCGCATCATAGTTTTAAGAGTCTGCTGACACAAACAGATGTTGGAGAATCAAATTCTAAAAGTAATTGTGTAACTTTCTCCCCATTTTTGCTACTACCAAAAAGGTGGCATTGGGATGAGCTTATGTTCTAACACCTCAAGGTTTTTTGAGAACTACCTCTTAAAATTCTTTCAAAGTAATTTTCAGAGACACAATTGCTATGTTGTCTGAATAAACTTACTTTCCTATGTGAGTAAGCCTGCATTCAGCCTGCTGCGTAGAAGTCGTATCCAGAGTCAGAACGTGCCCAAAACCCAATTCCAGTTTACCTTTAAGTTGCTTCAGGACAGAAAACATTAATGGAGTTACGTAATCTCTCAATCCTGAAATAAAGAGAAATATTGGGAAATAATTACCTCAACAAATCCAAGGGGAAGGTAGTTCATAAAGCATATTCCCTACGGTTCATCTGTGTCTGGAACAGGAATTAAAATGAGCCAAAAAAGCATTTCTAAAAGACAATCTTCTGTTTCTGTTGAAGGAAATATACAAATGATGAGGGATATTGTGTGTGTGTGCGTGCGCGCGCATTGCAGAAGGCCTTGTTTTATCGCAGAGTAAACCTCACTGAAGCTGGCTTCTTGTTCTATTCAAGAACACTTAAGAGAACAAGATCTTGGTTTTAAGAGCTAAAATAGAGCACTCCTGCATGCCCAGAAAGTAAAGCCAAAGGAAAATGACTTTTTCCTTTTCTGGAGCTCAGCAAGCTGACAAGGGGCAATGCCAATCAAACAGAATGTCCTTGACCTGACACCACTAAACAATCTCCTTGCTAAGAACTGACACAGTAATGACAACTTGTGGGACCCTGCCACATCATTTCCATGTATATGCTGTAGGTACAACTCCTCCTGAGAATTTACATACCTGAAATAAAATGTTGAAAGCAGGTAGTTGTTCAGAATACGTTTTTATTTTGAAAATACAATTTGTGTCAGATACAGTTTTGTCAGAACACCAAATAACTAGCAAATCCACTAAAACAGGTAAAATTTTATTTAACAATCAACTCTGGTGAGTTACTCAGAAAATGTAACATTAAAATTACATAATAGGAATTTTATAAATCACAGAATATAATACTGCATTTGGATCATCCAAGCCCAGTTTAGATGTTTTCATCTGTTTAGTACTGATGCACCTATAAAGCACGAATAGGCAGGAATTCAGCAGAAAGGGCTTGTTACTGATATGTTAAGAATCCAAGTTTATTAGCAGAGAAAAGATAATACAGATTACATTCTGTTATTATAAACACTAGTAAATACGTAATTTAAACTTAGCTATAGAAAGGAACCCTAATTCCCTGCAAGACCTGATGAAGCCAAAGGAGTAAGCAGCACCCTGTCGGAACGGACAAACCAGTTCCTGAAGACTTTACCACAGGGAAATAAACTGGGATTAAATATATATAACACAGCCTCGATTCTTGGAAGAAGAAAGAGAACCAAAACAAATGCAAGCTTTATAACGTGTTTCCTCTGCAGCAGTCCATGAATGCTCCGTGGTGAGTTTTGACCCGGAAGTCGCCCAAGGGATTGCTAGGATTTTGGTCTTTGCCATCAGTGTAGCTTAGTTTTCTGTATACCCTATGGAAAAGATTTGTTTAGATGATAAAATAAATTATGCAAAAATGCTATCCTTTCTGAAACTACATTGAACGTAATGAAATTGAAAGAAGTCACTGGGGCAAGGTATCCGAAAATCTTGACTGTGAACAGCAGCAGGACTCCTTACTTGCATTCCTGTGTGCTTTCAGCTGGATAGGAAAATTTTCATCCTATGTCATTTTAATGTCTCAGTAATGCTACTACATTAACCTATTATATATAAATATCTACTGAACTTTGATACGTAATCTTTGAATGTATTCACAAATAGCTAAAAGTGAGAGACAAGTCAGAATAATATTGTTTCCTTGCATAGAATTTAATAATGTCATACTTTTTTTAACATCTATTTTAAACTATTTTGGTTTACATCTGACAATAAAGTATAGCAGTATAGCTGCAGGACAGCAGTCACACAGAGCTGAAGAAAAGTTTAATACTTATAAACATTTCCTTCTCCAAAATATATCTTTCATAATGATCTTCTAGATAAAGGCAATCAAGTTCCAGACAGGAAGATGATATTCTTTTTCTTTCCCCAACTACTCGTTACATCATACAAATCAGCAAACATGCATTTGTGTAATTAAAGAACAAAGAAATAGATTTTATTCCAGATGGCTTGGCAAGAAAGCACTCTGAAATCCTGATTTCCTACTCTTTCTTAAAAACTTAACTACTTACGTGCATTAAGGAAAAGAAAACCTTTTCCTTCAGAACAAGTACTAATCTCATGGAGATGGCTATTTTTATGGAGTCAGGAAAAAGAAGAAAAAAGAAAAAAAGCAGTAATCAGTAGAACTGAGCAGAAATTTACTCAGCTAAGTGGGCATACTTGACATCACAGAAACAGCCATGTATCCTCATCAGCTTGACTTCAATGTTCCATGATGTCAAAAACGACAGTCTTTATTAATATTGTTATGTATATGTATTACAAGATTAACCCAGAATTCCATCTTTGCTTAAACTGAAACTTTTTTCTTTAAATCATGCAGCTTCTTTTCCAGTTAGCTTCTCCTCAGGAGTAGTTTAAAAATGCATTCAGGCTTCTTTTGAAGTTTTAATTCCAGCATTGACAGAAAATTATTATGTCAGCTGTATGATCATCTCAAGCATATCATCACTGAGTCTGGGAAGGCAGTGTATCTTGTGGTGCCAAATTAGACATTTAGGCAGAAAACATGTAAAAAGTGTTTTGGAAAATAAAAAGAGAACATGTTTAGAGAACTTTCAATGATTTTTTTTAATTTTGGTGTCTATTAAATTAGTTTGTAAATAAAAATCCAAGAGATATGGAACATAAGAATGCTTTAAAAGTCACTTATTTTCTAAGAAAAGCAGATGTAGTAGGCCAGTATCCAGGAAGCTGGAAGGAGTGTTCGCCTTCCAGGGATCTAACTACATTGGCAAGAATGATAACAGCAGGAGAAAAGGATCTTGGATATCTTCCAGAGCCACTGTTTGTTTACACAGAACCAAAATGCAGGTAACTATGCTCAAGTGTACAGAAGCTCACTCTTGAAAGTCTTTTTTTTCTCTTTTTTGGCAATATACTATACTCCCCACACCCCAAGGATCTGAGAAGACGTGTTAGCTCAAACACACAGGTAGAATCAAAACAATTCTATAGTTATATCTAAAATGATAAATGCCTCTCTAGTGAACACAAGATAAGGACTAGAGCAGCTATTCATTTAGGCCATCTTACTAACTTGTGTTCACTGGCTATCCATGCTGAAGGCTAGCTAGTTTTTTTCCACAAACGCTTACCTTCTAGTGTCCATATTCAATCCAGGTTTGATTAGCATGGGCTGTACCAAGGATCCTTGATGATTTTCATTCTAGAAGCATGCGTGTAAGCTACAACCTCCATATCTTTAACATAGGTGCAGAGCAGCAAGAATGTCTTTTGACATTTCCCCCACCCCCCAAAAGACACTTACCTTTGGTGGCACTTCGAGAAATTTCTGGGATGGCTGCAATTCTTCATTGCACCAGGCCAACCAGCGCGGACATCTGCAATCCCAGATTCTGGTGATGAAAAACAGTAGCATGAAAAGGGCAAGAACAACACTGAGTAGTACAGGCACTACATTATGTTGTTAAAATACTAGCCTACTAAGGCATTGGTAATATTTCACTGAGCAAATTTCCTTATCAAAATATTCTAACGTAAAAATTAATTTCAAATACATTTTAAACACTGAATATATTGACGTACAAGCCAGGTTTCAAAATACTTATATTTTATCACCATTAGAAAAAGGTAGAAAGAGAATAAACTGTTGAGTCCAGAAAAAATGTAATACATAAAGTATGAGTTAAAAAATTGAGGAAGGAAAAATAAGACAGTCCACCTCAGTCAAACTCTTTACAATTAATCAGTAATGAAAACGCAACAAGGAGAGAACCATGCAAGTAAGTGCATTCCTTCTGCCATTTTCTTATTGTATACCAGCTGACAATATTTCAAGTCACCTTCCTCAGTATTTTCCTTTATGTTAGTTATCTTGATGATAAGGTTCATAAAATACAGAAAAATACAGAAAAACAAACATTACTGATTTTACTTAGAAGGAAAAAAAAGTTCAGGTTGTGCTATAAACATGTTTTAACCAAAATCAGATTTTTAAAAGGAAATTAAAAGATTAACATCTAAAATCTCAAACTAATGTAGGATTTTTTTATTCTATTTTATTTTTCTAATAATTCTACTGTCCTGAATTGGCAGAAGTCTTTTCATCCAGATTAATTACCTAAGCACATGACAGAAGTCATGCAACAACTCAATAGTAAGTTTTTGTAAAGCTGAAGAATCCAAACAAAAGCATTTGGTTATTAAAGTAGGATTAACAAGCTATGTGTTTTGTGTTGATCATTTACATGCAGGAAAGTAAAAGCAACAGCAAACTTCAAATAAAATTAAAAAAAGGAATAGAAAACCAGCTGATAATATGCAACATCTTTAGTAGAAAAAGTCCTGGCTAACCCAGAGAAAATCTTTTTTGAACAGCTATTAACATGCTATTCAGGAAACCCTTTTCTGTATAGATTCTATGCTTTTTGGAACACTTAAACATACTCAATCACTGAAGAAAAAAAAGCAGTCACTTAAACAGTGGTCTATTCAGATCTATAGATTTACCCTTTGAAGAAGTGCTCATGATTGTTAAAGTAGCAATCCATAAAGTTTCTAAAACTAACCTTGCAGGGAAGTTCCAGGAATATTAAGAGAGATTTTATCTGAAGAGTCATGAAAGCCACAGTCCTAAAAATAAAGCATCAGCAGATTACATTGATGGAAAAACTCACGTATTATTTCACAGCTTGCCTCCAAGAAAATAACTGGGAACCTGGTAATAAGGGTCCGATTTAATATTTAAATCAACAAGTCTAACAATTCCAGTGGAACCCAGTAAAGCTTTGTTTGCCTCATCTTGTCCATCTATAAAATGAACAAAACATCATCATTTCAGAAGTACAACACCTTAATTAAAAAGGTCACTGTTTGAGATTATTTTAACCAGTGACACAGTCTATTAAAATGTAACAAAATCTCTTGCCGAGCATTTCATAACCATTTTCAAGGTTATGAAATATAGTGAGCTTCCTTACATGATCCAGAACTGATACAATTTCCACCCCCAAACACCAAACCTCTAAAAGAACTCTACTGACCAAATAGCACGAGGCATATACTGTCACTAAGTTTAAATAGATTCCAGACCTAACCTATTTTTTTTAATAGCTTTTCCAAATATCAGCAAAGAGTGCACAATCATTTATTTATTTACTTTTTAAAAGGTTCTTAAGTACCTGACTCTGACAGTCACAACTGTCAAAAAAGCTGGGGCTACTATCATTGTACGTGTTCAAAAAATCCATGCCAACTGTCTGAAGATTGACGTTTTTTCTGTGAGAAACTTGTTGACATTGTGCTGAAGGAGAATAATGTTCTGGGATATTTTTCAGTCGCTTTACTGGTGAACAAGGAAGATCATTTTGAAAATTTCCTAGTCTTTTAACTCTGGGAATTGCAAATAAAGTTCTAACAGGTGAGTTTACAAGAGCATTTACAGTTTCAGACATCTGTATTCCTTCATATTTCCTTAAATTTGAAGCTCTCTGAAACCCAGGAAGTTTTGGAACAGCTTCTCCACACAACTCCTCATAGATCCTGTCAAATTCTCTATCATAGTACGTATCAGAGCTCACAGAATTACTTAAATTACTCTTCACTAATCTTCCTTTCTCTTCAAGGTTTTGTGAATTTGAAAGAGGTCTTCCTGATGTCAAAGGCTTTTCGATTTCTTTGGAACACAGTTTGTAGTAGAGCTTTTCAAATGCGTCTTCGTATTTCTGGGGCACGTTTGAAGTACTCTGCTCCATAGACAGTGAGGAAAATGAGTGCTCGCGCTGGAAAGAAGTTAGTCTTTCAGAAGTTAGGTTTTCAGGATTTATTAGCGAAGTATTTGGTGCTCTTGCAGGGCAACAGTTTGTGACTGGTGTAAAAGCCTTACTGTTGCCGTAGGAACTGCAAGTACATGAACACAGCCTTAAGGCACTACCAAAAGGAAAGTTAGTTTTTTGAATTTTACTTTCTTTTAACAGGCGAAGTGCTGTTGACCCTGAGCTGGCAGTAGATGTTGTAAAACAATGTTCTGAGGAACATTTATAAGCTAATTTTTCACCTTCTTTGCATTTTGAATTCTTCAGCGAGACAGTAGTCTGTAACTCATCTTCAACGAGAAAGGTCTCTCCCATTCTAGCCATAACATTAGGAAAATGGGTCTGTTTGGAAACTCTCTGGCTTTTTCCAGATACCAAATGGTGTTCTAAACTTGAATCACAGTAGTCTGCTTTGTTTTCATTTGTATCAATGTAAGAATAAGGTACCAGACCTGATAAATTATTATTGGAACACTTGTCATCACAGAGTTCTCTGTTCTCATTTCCAAATGTTTGATTCTGGGTGTCTTCACTTCTATTGCTACGTATGTTGGATTGTGGTTGCTTCAGATTAAAAGGTCTGAACCCTCTTATTTTGTCTACAGTGACATTGAGCTTTGGTCTTCTAGAATGCCATCTTTTGTGCCTTAAGCATCCAAACACATATTTTAACTCTTTTCTCTGAGACTGCTTTGTCATGAGCCTTGTAAGTATCTTTACCATCGCTGGATACAAGTCTGCAAGAGTTACATTGCTCCAGGAGCATTCCTCGTCTGCAGACTGGTACTCCTCCAAGACACTATCCCAGCAACTTCTATTCAGTTCTGGAGAAGGCAGATCCCTGGACATGATTACAGTATTTGGTGAAATGGGAACACTAGGAAATTGTAACCATAGAGATTTGGAAGAACATTCATTTGAAAACTCTGCTTTATTTCTGTTAATGGCAGCCTGGTTGCCTATTCAAAAAACAAAACAAAACAAAACCGCAAATGAATCACTAAAGAAACCAGAAGGAAAAAACCCACAAACCCATTAGGGCACTTCCAGTAACATATTACATGACTTAGAAACAATTGCATATGGTATGGATAGTGTTACTGTAATAGCATATTTCACTAAACATTTTTGCCAGGCTAAGTAGATGATTAACATACAATCCATTTTGAAAATATTGAAAGGTTTTTGCTAGCTATATTGAATTAAGAGACTACACAAGACAGAAGTGAAATGTGTTGGAAAAAGCTATTAAATAAATTAGCTTAATATATAGATATAAAATATTTTCATTATTGAGGCTTTGCTCTTTGTGGATCTCTGAGCAGGAGGAATGGCCTTATCCTACAGGTTTTGTTACTCTATTTCAATATTACTTCATATCTTTGTACTTGGCTAGTACCAGTGCAGCTTTACTTGCCATGAAGCATGATGAAGGCAATGCTTTTTGTAGCTGTTGGGCTTAAAAACGTTTACACCAGACATCTATCATAGGATTGGATCAAGTATGGAAAGTTTCTGAAGAAAGTTTACTAGCGAAGTACCACTTTTGAGTACCAGCAGACCCAAAGTCATTCAATTACATTCCTTTGAATTTAAGATATGCAATTAATTTCATCTCACTGAGCTTAATGTTGATGAATTTTGTAGCTATGCATATTTTTCCTGGGGCTATTTAAGAAAAGCTCTTATTATGTATACAAGTTATTTAGTTTCTATTTTTCAAATAGATTTTGCATAAGCAAAATCATGTCTAACTTCTCTTCAAGAATTCAGCCTGTTGAACTTTTCTGTTGGATAAATAGTACCTCTGGGCTTTCAATAAGTTAAATATTTATTTCTAATAAATTTTAAGGAAAACACATTTCATAACTAACATATTTGACTAACACTCACAAGATTTAGTTGTACCCATCAATTCTTGCACTGGTGAAGCTAAATGAAGACTTTTCAATGAGTGTTGAGGTGCTACCTGAAAAACAAAGAAACAAGAGACACATAATCTAATACCCTGATCTTGTTGCACATGAAAAGTAACATCAAAACCTTATTTGTGACTCTTCCTGCTCTCTCCTTACTATATTAGATCCTGTAGAGTTATGGTTCTAAGGGGTTTAGTTAATTTTAGACAAGGGGGGAAAAAGTCTAGTCTAAGAGTTCACTAAGAATTGTTGTTACCAGTTTAATCTTAGAAAGCTAGTTATCATTTTTGTAACTTCTACATTATGTATCATATTTTAATTGTAGAAGCATAAAATGGTTAGGGTGGGAAAGGACCCTAAGATCATCTAGTTTCAACACCCCTGCCACAAGCAGGGACACCTCCTACTAGACAATACTGCTCAAGGCTCTCTCCAACCTGTCCTTGAACACTGCCAATCCCTTTCCCAAATAACATAACTTACACATGGATACATACACCAGGATAATCAATACATCTCTGGCAACTCCAGTAGGAAACAGAAGGCGTTCCATCCAACACAACCTTTTGCCTCCAATTCCCTTTACCCCCCAAAACCAAAATAAGCTAAACCACCACTTTTCTCTTCATACCTCAAATTTAGACTTTTCAGAAACTTACTGAAGATCAATTGAAACATCAGGGTTCAAAGAAGAAAGTAAAAATTAAATAAAAAAGAAATAAATTGGTATAATCTGTTTCTTACAAATCATTGCTGTCAGAGATCTGGAGATGCTGCGATATTTATGTAGACAGCAAGCAAGAGAGGAACAATAAAACATCAGAGAAGTTGTATTAGAATTCATTATGCTGCAGAGTTAGAGAGTTCTTATTTATTCTAATTAGCTAAGAACAGGAGAAATATGTTACCGTAATCCATTTGGGAATATTTCTAGCATTCTCTTGTACTATCACATCCACTTGAACTTTTACTTTCTCTTGATTTTTCCCATCATCTACATTCAGATTCTTAAAGGGGAAAAAAAAAAAAAAAAAAAAGTAAAATGAAAAAAAAAAAAATAAAAGGAGAAAGGAAAGGAAGGAGGAAGGGAATGAAAAGAAAGAAAAAAAAAAAAAAGAGGAACTGAGCCAGTGTTGAGCTGCCACATTGCAACTTCTTTTTCAGCGTGCTGTGGTTTGAGTGCTCCATTCGTTTCAAACAGGGAAAAAAAGGGTTGGAGAGAAACGGAAAAAAAAAAAAAAAAAAAAAAAAAAAAAAAAGAGATAAGTAACTAGTTTATCGATGTAGGCAAAAGCACACAGTGCCCCAAAAAAAAAAAAGGGAATTAGTCAAAACATGTAAAAGTTACTGACACTGACAAAGCCGAACATTACTCAGGTCTGTTTCAAACCAGTGTTATTCAGATGAGGATATCCTACCAGCATAAACTTGTTTTAACGTATACATTTTATGTGGGGAAAAAAACCTCCAAACAACTGAGAAAGAACTGTATGTGAAGACACGTAAAAAGGAAAAAAAAAAAAAAAAAAAAAAAAAAAGAGATAAGTAACTAGTTTATCGATGTAGGCAAAAGCACACAGTGCCCCAGAAGACCTGATAAAAGCAAAACAAAAAAAAAGGAAAAAGCCCTAGTGTTAGGTTACAAAGCACTGGTAATCAGGGCTGCAAATATTTACAAGTATTATTAACACCCCATGACTTCATATACAAATTAGGATCTACTCTGTAACACATGTAAAATGTAAAAGCATTTGGTGATAAACAGTAAATGTTTCTCTTTAGTGAAACTTCCTCTCTGAAGCAGTCTGTATTAGCTGTTGTCAAAGATATGACAATACCTAGTGCTATGCTAAACAAATAAAGAAAGTAAATTACCTTTTTGGTAATTTGTACGTGAGAAAGAACAACACAGGATTAGAATGGCTGTGCACACAAAGCATGTGTTGTATTTTTCTCCATCACTGTAACTATTTTGGGTAGTCCTGATACCCACTGACTAGTTAGGGAAACAACAGCAGAAGATTCCAGTCTGCTTTTGTTATGGCAGGCCTTTTTTAAAAGTTTCCAGTCTGTTTTTGTTAGGCCAGCCATTATTTCAGATTAACCGCTTTTTAAAATCATATTACCTCTTTATACTGGACTCTCAGGTGAATGATCGTATTTTCTGTAAGTGTTTTCACTTTGTGATTCATCTGGTTATTCTTTTTCTATACCTGTAATAGCCTTCCTCAGGGTTGCCTGTTCTATGCAATATATTGTACAGCTTTCTCTGATATACTGATCATACCAAGACATAATATTACTTCATGTTGGTCTTCATGACATTATTTATTGAAACTTTCATTTGCTATACTTACTAAAAATGTGCATTAAGATGCAGACTACACAGAGCATTCTGCTGACTGGCATATGTAAGCTATTCAAAAAGCTCAATCATTTCTATTGAACACAAAATTATTGCATTGCATTAGACACCAGACATTTTTACCTGGACGTGAATGTCTTCAAATTTTCTTCTTACTGAAACTATATCAGAATCACTTTCTTCACCTATAATTTGAAGATAAATAATAAATAAAATCCAGTTGAACTCAAAAATCAAAACAGAAATGTTTTTAAACACACCCTGTATAACTTACTGACTAAATTGGTTTCATTTTAGAAGACTTTTCTACACTAGAATTTTTTTAATCTGTATTACATTTTCAAGTCCAACTGAAAACCATGGTTAAGGGTTCAAGAAGAGTGAAGATAACTTGGTTGTAACCACTTCTTCAAGATTCATGCTAACTATTTTGGAGAGTAAAATATTTTCAAAGTATTGTTCTGCAGGATTCATTAATGCATGCATTCCCTCTCATTTCCAACTACATTCTGAAGTATCTCAACAAAAATAGCAAGGACCTTCTACCATTCTTCCTTTTCTTAGTTTGTTATTATCAAGACTTTATCTTGATTTTTTATTATCAGGACTTGCTTTAGAACTGCCAAAGTGAGAAATAAGAGTTGAAAATATTAGAAAGCATATTCAAATCTTCCAACTCAATATTTAGGTATTCTATGGGTATTTTCATGAATGAAATGCAACAGACCATCCAACTCATCATTAGCCAAAGCCTCAATCTTTCAGGATCATAAAACACATAACTGCATTGTAAGCCTGCAATTCTGAATTTTCCTGGCTGTTATATCTTTATTCCACAATTGTGTTCACTGCAGGGAGGGGAAGAGCAACCCTGAAAAGGAAAACAATGAGTGAAAATAATCTTGGTTATGATATCTACCACATTGCTGCCTCTTCAATACTATTCTTAAATTACTAAAATCAGAATGAAAATCTTTCTTAGCTAATCCCATCTTCCTTTTTTGTTCCCTATCAGTGTAATCATCATCTAAAGCTCCGCAGACAGCTGATGCCATAGGGCTAGGATAAAGATACATATGAAAGAATTGCTATTGTCTCTTTGTGGGAGACCAGACAATTTCACATGTTCCAGTGAAAACGTTAAGCAACCAGAGGGTTGCCTTTGACAGTCTACATGACCCCAGTAGAACTTTAATAACCAAATCCCATACTTGTCAGATTATCAAAGTTTCTTCCCACAAAACTAATGGAAATTGTGGTCACTTTATCTACAGGAAATCAGTTACTAAGCATCAATAGTGGAAGAAGCAATAAGAATGTTAATCATAGAATCAGCTAGGTTGGAAAAGCCCTTTAAGATCATCAAGTCCAACCTTTGCCCCGTGTCCTGGGTTCAGCTACAGCAGTCATTTTTTCTCCTTCTTAGTAGCTGGTGCAGTGCTGTGGTTTTGACTTTCAGTCTGGGAACAACGCTGATAACACCAATGGTTTTAGTTGTTGCTCAGTAATGTTTACTCTGACCAAGGACTTTCTCAGTCTCATGCTCTGCCAGAGAGGAGGGGAAGCCAGGAAGAAGCAGAGACAGGACACCTGACCCAAACTGGCCAAAGGGGTATTCCATACCACAGCACCTCATGCCCAGTATAGAAACTGGGGGGAGTTACCCGGAAGGCCCAGATCGCTGCTCGGGTCGGGCTGGGTATCGGTCAGCGGGTGGTGAGCAATTGTGTCCTCTCCCCTTGTTATTTCCCTTATCATTATTATTGGTAGCAGTAGTGGTTTGTATTATACCTTAGTTACTGGACTGGTCTTATCTCAACCCATGGGAGTTACATTCCTCCGATTCTCCTCCCCATCCCTCTGGGAGCAGGGGGAGGAAGGAAGAGGTGGGGGGGAGTGAGCGAGCGGCTGTGTGGTTCCAAGTTGCCGGCTGGGCTTAAACTACGACACCTCAGGACTGCCAAGTCCATCACCAGAAACCATGTCACGAATGGCCTCATCTATATCTTTTTGAACACTTCCAGGGACGATGATTCCACCACTGTCCTGGGCAACCTGTTCCAATGCCTGAGCACCCTTTCAGAGAAGAAATTTTTCCTAATATCCAGTCTAATCCTCCCTTGACACATCTTGAGGCTGTTACCTCTTGTCCTATCACTTGTTACTTGGTAAAAGAGAGCAGCCAGCTCCTCTCTCCATCCTCCTTTCAGGTGGATGCAGAGAGTGGTAAGGTCCTCCTGAGCCTTCTCTTCTCCAGAACCCCAGTTCCCTCAGCCATTCCTCATCAGACTCATTGCCTTTCTCTGAACCTGTTCCAGCAACTCAGTACCTCTCTTGTAGTGAAGCGCCCAGTACTGAACACAGTATTCAAGATGTGGCCTCACCAGTACGGGGGGATGATCACCACCCTCGCCCTGCTGGCCACACTATTGCTGGTACAGGCCAGGATGGTGTTGGCCTTCTTGGCTGCCTGGGCACAAGCGGGCTTATGTTCAGTGGCCCTCAATCAGCACCCCCAGGGCAGACCAACACTTTAATTATACCTGTTGTTAATAGGCTTTGCATACTTTTGGAACAAAAATTATGTATAAAACCTGGAAAAAACACTGCCTTCATCAAGACGCGTGAAACATTCTACATGAATGCTAAAGATGAAAAACATGACAAAGCTAAAGTTTTAGCTAAAGCAGCTAAAGACATACCTTTAAGAAAAAAAAGTTAGTATGGCCTATTGTTAACCGGTACAGGCCAGGATGGAAAAAAAAAAAAACCAAACCAAACAAAAAAAACCCCAACCAAACAAAAAAAGAAAAACCAACAAAAAACCAAACAAACCAACACTCAAAAAACCAAAGCCACGAGACACCTAGGTGAATTCCACTTTTAAATGCAGAATCCAATCCCACATCTCTAAGAATCTAATTTCCAGGTCCTACTGCATTTGGAGATAGCTGCGACTCACCGAGGTTGCTATAAATCCTCTCCTGTCTCTTCCTGGAACATTCAGAAGAGAAGGAGGAGGAGTGGATAATCATATTCTTGTATGCTGCTACGAAGATACCGCAGCATGAACTGCATCACTCGTTTGTCCCATGAGTGCAGAAGACACAAAGGACACTTTGAGAAGCCAAGCTACAGATGCCTCTGAAATTTGTTTCGCATCCTCTCAAATGAAAGGAGGATAAGTTTCAGATTGTTGTTTTCCCCTCAACAGAGAAGAAATCATCTGCCTTGGAGACAGCTATGCAAACGAAGCACCTAATATATACCAGAGTATTTAAACACCACCTAACCATATTTTGCTGCTACTACCCTTTTAATCATTAAATGCTGGTTACCATCTAGCCATAGTTCAGCTGATGCAAAACAGTAAGCTTTTATATACACAAAAATAAAAAGGTTTAGAGTAATACAAGTTTTAAACATTTAAACAACAGTCATTCAAAGATTGTTACTACTAAGTAATACAATTAAATAATTATTTTGGAATACAAGGTCAAAACCACCCAAAACTTTGCAGACAGGGCACAAGACTGACGCTGAACCTGTTACAAACACTACTGAAGACTTATTTGTTGCAGGACAAGCTGAATGCAATGTTTGTGTCTACCAACCACTAGAAATTATTGTATATATGTAGTTGTAAATTAATGTATTTATTGCAATTGTATATATTGTAATTGTTAATAAAACTTCTATTGCAACTTATGTCAAAGCTTTACTCTTCCTTTCTTTATTAAGAAAATGCAATTAAACATATTCCACATTGACTTTTCAACATATCAGGGATTCAGGACTGAGATTTTAAAGAGTAACAGGGGTATTGATTTCATAGTACTACCAGTACCACAGTTTCTGGCTGTTCCTATTCTCTACTTTCTGAAAGGGTGTAGAATACTTAAAATTATTTTTACTATATTGGAAAACTATGAAAAAGTTATTTGCAATCTTTTTCAAAAACTTTAAAAAAAGGTAGATAGAAAGTAAATTAAAAACCCACCTGTGTCAGATGTATCCACATGGGAGTTCTCAGGAGATTCCTTAAAAGCACATGAAAGTAATTTTAAGACCTGGTAGCATAAGCTATATTAACTAGTCTGTAGAATTTTCTGCTCTCACTAGTTGTTCAACTTTTTGGGGACAGTGGTGGTGGTGAAACAAACAGAGTTATATTCCACAAACTATGTCCAAATGACACCATCTTTATTAACAAATTTGTACACAAATCTGTCTTGATTCATATCTCATTACTCTACGGGGAAAACTGTTTTCTTCCCAGTCCTATATTCAGACAAACAATGCAAGGAGAAGCTATTATACAAAAGCAAAACACAGTTGACAGATGAATTCTAATCACCAAATTCTGTATCTACAGGAGACTCTATTATTCATGTTCTAAATCATATGAAAAATGTTTAAACTGCCCACTGTAAACAATTCTTAATTGCCTACTTCAAACAATCTTGATACAGTATTTCAAATAGGGGGTTTTTTTTGCTCTATTTTGTAGAAGTTGCATAAAAAGCTCATTTCTACGGATAAGGAGCCTTTTCTAAATGTTTACAGTCTACATTTGACACCATATTCTCCAGAATTCCTAAAAAAAAAAATAAAAAAAAAAAAATAAAAAATAAAGTCTAAATCCCTTCTGGCCCTTCCAAACATAAAATCAGTGCATAGTGAGTTAAGAGGTCACCAATAAAATAAGACAATTCTAACTACCATCTATGTAGAACAAAAAGTTAGGAGTGACCAGTAAGAAGGCCCATATCACTCCTCAAATGCTGAGTATTTTCTCCTTAAAAAGATAAGAAGTCGAAAGAAGTTATTCTAGATGACCACAGATTTTTTAAAATGGTAATTTAACAAGTTAGACACACACACTGCCTAACAAAAAAGACATTTGATGGTTTAAAGCCTATATCCAACTGCCTTTGGATATCTCCCCCTTTACATAAACTTAAAAGGGTAGAATTCTGCCAAAATCCATGGCTGATATGGCTGCTACTCAATATCCTAAATATTACAATGAGGGGGAAGATATGTAATTATATGAAACATATGCAAACCCGAACACACAAACAGCATATATAGGGACATTGTAAAAAAAGGAAAAAACAAAAAGAATAAAAAGACCCATGAATCCACTGTCACAAAATGTATTAGACCACCAAATATACAAGCCAAAACTTGAGTTCATCACCATCCCAAAGCACAGAATGTATCAGTGAAGGAAACAATCAGGGGAAGTATACAGGTGATCAACATTAACTAAAACCTGAGATTTTAATTTTAAATGAACACATACCCAGTAAGTAAAGACACATCTTTCCTAAAATAATGCAACTATAATTGAGGAACTACATGAGAGGAAATATAAAACAATTGTTTAGTAAGATACCTGAAGTTTAAAGAACTGCAGTGAAAGAACTGCATTAAAATACCTTAAGCCCTCAATTATTTTTTTTTCCCCAGAAGTACTTCTTTAAGGAGAATAAAGTCATTCAATTCAGCAATTAGTAGGTCTTTAAAATCTAATTTTATAGCTATGGTACAGGACCACCTGCTCATGATTTTTTTCTTACCTTTTGACTACATAAATACATTTTCCCAAAGAGGTTTTATAAAAGTAGATGCAATGTGGTGCCCATACCTGAGATACTGTTGGACGTTCATCTTCAAAATCACTGGTCTGTCGATTTGACATTTCTTAGCATGCATGGGAGGAAAAAAGATAATTTTATTTCAGTCTGATAGGTCACAGATCAATGCTGTACCTGAACTCGTTACTTCATCATTTGTATATACTCTTATCTTGAAAAATATTTAACAAACACTTAACAAATGTAGTACATAGGACTGAGGAAAAGAATAGACAAGCGACAGAACAACATTCTAGTCAAACACGGCACAGTAATTCTGACCAGAGATGTACATCTACCGTATTACATGTTTTCTTCTTAACCCATAAAGCACCACAGAAAATAAAATTTGTCCCTTTATCAAGTGGTATCACTTTTAGAAAAAGATAGCTGCAAACTTTTTGTGAATTTTTCTTGGCAGAGACTGAAAAGGACAAGACAAAGACTAACTACTCCTGACACCTGAAGGTAGAGCCAAAAATCTCTATTGCATCTTTCTAGTGAATTTTGGCATTCAGGGGCTTTCCAAAACACTATGCCTGTCTTCCTGCACAGACTTACACACAATCTTTGTGGGCTGTTTCCCCACTCTCCCCGCCCCTACTTTATTTCATAAGAAGCAATATAAAAAGCGTAAGAGCTGTTTATTTAGCAGACATTCCCACTTTTTACATTTCAATCTATACTTTGTTCTTCATTAGCTGTACAACTCAAATGGATTTAAATGAAACTCAAAAGATATTAGACTCACAAAGTAGCTATCTTCAAATAAATGAGACTTTCACAAAGGCTTATTTCACAGTCAGCCTCTAAGCCAGATATTGTTGCTATTAAAATTACTCAGACCAAAACCTGTTTTCATACAGCTGAAAAAAGTTACATTTCTAACTGTTGCCTTGTTAAAGTTACCTGTAACAATCTACAATCCTTCAAGTCAGTATACAGTGCATATGATTATGATGTGCACATAAAAATTACTTCATAAATCTATTGTTAATACTGTATACATTACAGAAATTTAATTTTTCCCAGAAGAGAAGATCTTTGTCTCCAGACCTATGACTCTGCTGGTACTAAAGCTGTAGTGGGACTTCTCAAGATGGGATGCATGTGATAAACTTCAACTTAAAATATAAAGATAATACATGTGCTTTAGCAGATATGTTTATGCTAAATAAAGCAAATTTGTTTAATGCCAAATTTGTTGTCCTTGGTTTCTTTCCTGTGTTTCTGTTTCCAGACCAGCTGATGTCAAATATCACAAATTACTTTGCTTTTTTTTTTTTTATTAAATTGTGAGAAAACTTATCTCTTACCTAACGCAGGCACATAGGCACTATTTACCTCTATAAAAATTTCATATTACTTAATAGTGCCAAGCATACATCTAAAGATCTCAATTTTTCTAAAGGCTTAAAGCATAGAGAAATGTAAAGATGTCATCTACTGCTTCTTCCATTTTAAAGCCATACCTAACTTACCTCTAGAAGTCTAACCTATTCTTAAGAGCAACTCCATATTCTCCAAGAAATGTATTTCAGGACTTCCTTATTGTTTACATTTGGAAAGCTTTTCTAATATTTAACCTAGAGGCTTACTTTTGTTTTCTCTCCCTCACCCTTTAAATCTTAATCATCAGTGGCTCTAGTAATTTCCCCCACCTCTTTTCTGACTCACTCCAGCCAGTCAAGCTACTATCGAATACAAAACGAAGTACTTCACCAGAAGTTTTATCACTGTTACACAGCACAGAAAAGCTCTTTCGTGCTATGCATACTAGGCACCTGTGCATATCTTTTAGGACAGTGTGCGCTACTCTTGGCTGGCTCAACCAACCTCCAAAATTGACTCTTCCTGCTTTTAATTATTCCTACATGTCTACTACATTGAACTTCTCTGCATGGAATTACACAAAGTTTACTTTAAGTTTTAGCCCCAATTTGTCAGATTATCTTTCACAGTGGTCATCCCTATTTGGTATCATCTGCAAGTTAATTAAGGGCATGCCCACTTCTATTTACTTAAATAAAGTATAAGCTAATAATTTGCTCAGGACCATTTCGGTCCTGGAAAAAAAATCCTTCATGTTTTCCCCTCAGTTTGGACACAGACCATTGATAACTATTCTAATCATAGTTTCCTAACCAGTAGGACACTGGGCTATAAAACCACTCTCTCATACAAAGTTAATGAAGTGTATTATACCACTGAAAGGCTCTGGCTTCAGCTTGTAACCTCAAGAAATATATGTCCAGTATTTTGCAGAAAACTACAGTAATGCTTCCTTTAGAATATATTAGACCCATCAGCATATATTTTCTAGAAATTAGAGGCAAAGGTATAGATAATCTGAATCTTTGTGTATCAGACCCTTATTTCCTGTCTCAACATTTTAATTTAATAGGCTGATACAAAATATATACCTGACACCTGTATGGACAAGTTTTTTGGTAGGACTCTAAGAGAGACGCTACAGGTTGTGTTTTGTCCTCAGCTGTTCAGCATGAAAGTTTCTCAGATAAATGTCATAAAACAAGCAACAGCAAAAAAAATAAAAATAAATAAAAACACCCACGTCAGAATCTTAAGAAAATACCTTTGCTGTGCTACACATCCCCCCGTCATTTATCTCAATAAAAACATGTGTTCTATTGAAAAACACCTCTCCTTTCCAGAACAAGGAGAAAATATTCAGATGTCATATCTCTCTCAGTAGTATCAGAATTACATTTTGTTGTGCAGTCTTGATTTGACTTCCATCACGATACTTGGTCTTTAATGAAATAACCATACACAACTTTTTCTTCCAGGCAGCCTGATTTACTCAATATACAGAACAATCTGCTAAATTTTTGATAGCTCATCATGTGACTTCATGAGATTCTTTTAACACATATCTTTTAACATGCCTCCTTATCTAATTATTTTCAAAAAGATTGCAACTTCCAAATTTCTCCACTTTTACACCCATGTAAGTCAGTTGGAATTCTTAGATTTGATGAACTGACAAATACAACAAAAAACTGTCCGTTTAACCAATATGAGGAGATCATTTTAATCAGTTTGTGATGATAGCAACATCAATTATAACGTATTTATTAATCTTAAACATTTTAAACTACATTTCAAAATCCTTACAAATGTAAGAATTGCTGGGTTTTTCAGTGGTTCCCCCCACAAAAAAAACCAAAAAACCCACAAGAGAGTATCCTAAAGTTTACCATAAAACCAGGACTGCTTCTATTAAGTGAAGACTGGATATATTAATTTATAACACTTATTCATTAGAAAACACTTTACCTGCATTCCTTTGACTTCCTTTATTCCGCTGCAATTAGAAATAAAAAAAAAAAAAAAACTTAAAAGAATCTTAGGCTAGTAAAATTATTTTAACTGATACCTTTATTTAGTTTGGTACATCTTACAACTAGGCACTTCATAAATAACCATTTGATTTCCTTCAGGTTTCCCACTGCCTGACCAGAAAAGCCACAAATACGTCGTAAAACTTACCCTATCATTCAGTTCTTCTTATACTGTTGCTGTTCAAATCACTTCAAGAACATAAGCTATAGCTACCTTGGCCCACATAAGAGGCTAAGACAGAGAACTCCTCTTACAGTCCTTAACAGATGTAGTCTCTAAAGTTATGCAGCAATGCCTAGTAGGTGACACACAAAGTATTACCAGGAGTGGAAAAGCAAATACAGACTCCTTTCTGACTCCATTAAATCCACTCTTGTTCCCAAAGACTGAAGCTCATTCCTCATTCCCTCACTCTGTGGGGTTCAGAACAGAATGCAGAACTTCTGTGTTAAGTGCCAAAGCACATCACATGATTTGGCTTTTTAGACAGATACTAGGAATGTAGCAGCAAGGCACATTTCGATAGTTATGTGAGAAACACAGATTTTGACAAAGTTCACTGCTGAGTGCTTAAGGGGGAATTTAGGAAATAGAAAAAGAAAATAGTGCTTGTTTAATATAAATACTCAGTACAAAAAAATACAGATAATATGCTGACAGCAGTAATGGCTTTAGATTGGCACAAATAGCGCGTGCTGAGACTGCAAAGATACTTTAATTACTCTAGCATTATTTTATAGAAAAAAGTGTAAAGATTAAACTGGTAAGCCCTTTAGAATTTAAAAGCTGATTACCTGAACCAATCTAAATCGATCAATGCATGTTAACTTCAATGACAATATTGTAAGGAAATCCAAAAATATGTTCCCCCATCAGAGAGCATTTTAAAATATTTTTCCAGGTTTCCCAGTGGTGCTAACAACTAGTAAAACAGTCATCTGTTTAAGTCTAACTCATCTGACAGACTTAACCAATCTATCCTAAAACCTTATTTTAAAGCAGATGTTGACTTCATTGATTAATACCTCTTGCAAATATATGGCACAGCAAAATTAAAATGTATTCCTATATATAAAACTATTCCTACATTTTGACTGCATAGGAGGACTACATTGTTAAATACCTGAAATAATTCCTTCTTCCAGTTTTTTTTCTTCTTGGTTGACACTTGCCCCCATTGTTTTATTCCTAGAAATAACAAGAGATGCCAATATGAACATAGGTTTTCTCATAACACTGCCAATACCAAGTATCATTCTAACAAACAAAACATTTAGGAAAAACATGTTAATATTAACAAAATATTATCAAAACCTGAATTTCCTCTAGTACAATTGTTGAAATAAAAACTTACAGGGAAATAAATAAGAAAATATCCAGATGATAAAAAAAGGGGAAAAAAATGTGCAAATTATTTTACTTTTTGAATGTTATTTAAGCCAGGTACACTACACGGTAACTGAGGTTAGCTAAAGCCATAACTCAGGCTCTACAGGACTGAGATCCATATTCATCCCATACTGAATAGAGGTTGCTAAACACAAGCCTTTACAAATCCAAGACTCTGTATTACAGTGCTGTGTGCATGTTTCTTCCCTCTCCAGATGGACAATGTATATAAAACACCGCAAAATACAAGCTTCTCAGTCTGTAAAACCCTTTAGAAAGTAAATCATATTTGGTACAACAATTATATTGTGCTCAATCCTGTGATAGTACTTCATGTGTATGTCCAGTAAGTTCTACTTTACAAGAATTGATACAGCAATCTACATATCATAATCCTCACTTCAGTGATAATAAAAAATGTCAGAGCATTTCATTTCCCGTTAAAGCCACCAAGACACTAAGTCACAAGTCCCACTAAAACCCTAAGCAATGCATTTTAGAACAGCAAGGTTTTTTTCCACAATAAGCTTTCCGTAAGCATCATCACCTCTATAACAGATCAACAGTTACAATGAAACACTGGAAAAATGTGATATGGCACAATGTGGTATAGATTTACACTAACCACATGGCAACATTCAATGGAAATGAATGAGACTGTCTGCCCAGGCCACCCTGATATTTGACATAACTGAAGCTTATCAAAGCAGCCTTCAGAATTCTGAGCAGAAACTACACAAGCCATTCATGCTTATCAACTTCCTGCTAATACTTGTTTCCCCTCAGTCTTCTCCATTTTGATTCTTCCTCTTACTAGTCATCCAAATATGAACCACTGTTATGCTGAACTTTGCTAATAATTCTTTTTTGTTGTCTAAAACTGCGTGCAAAAGACTAACACGGGGCATATAAACAAATTCCCCAGGTATTACATGCATGTATAAAAGTTCACATATGACATGCCATACTTAAGCGGACAAATACACTATCTGTTGTAATGAAATGTTATATGACTGCCAACAAGCAGCACATAAATATCAAAGCTTAGAGAAGTTCTTACCATCAGGCGTATCGTAAGTGAGAGTTTCCATGGAAATAAGTAGATCATCTTCAAAAGGATGATTATACTAAATAAAAAAAGACCATTAAAGATTAGAATAAATGATTAAAGCAATGCTTTTAACATGAATTTTAAGTATTGTTTTTAAATAATCTTGTTTTGACCAAAACGTTCAATTATCAGTATGTTGTTTTATTGGCTGAAATTAGAAGTCAGCAACCCGGAAATATTAATTTTTAGAGGAAACACACTTATTTTAAGCATATATGTAAGTCATTCAACCTCAAGGCATAAACCAGTCACAGTCAGAACAGTTTTCAAAGAGTTTTCAAAAGCAGTTAAGTTACTCTATTAAAGAGTTTCTTCTGAACTTCCCCTCCAGGAAATGGTAGTAGTCACTTAGCCTACAACTACAGCTCCCTACATGCAAAAATTCCAGACTTGGCCTTATGCCAGCACCAAGACATTAGAACAAAACACTTCCCTCAATGGTAGTGTCGACATCACTGAATACACACATGCAACCCTGGACAGAATTTTATGGTTCCCACATCTTTTCATACAAAATGGCTCTGAAGTAAGGATTCATGGAGGGAGTCACATGCTTTCTTCCGTAGTTTCACTGAAAATACTGGCTAATTTGGGTTAAGGGCACCATAAAGACACTTTGGACTTAAAATTAAGTCACTAATTCAATATTCGCAATACCGGATCTAGGTCTTAAGGACATATTCGAGAAGCTGGCTCTTTTGTAGCTAACTCATGCCAAGGCACAGGGCTGCACGGCTCAGCACGAACTGCAAAGCTGCAAGAAGCCCCGGGTGACAGCTGCTTTTGGCAGCCAGGAGAAATAAGTTGTGACACAACAAGTAATTAACTGTCAAGAGAATTCAGTTCCTGCACATTAGTACACAGATAGAAAATGGAACCTGTCAGTAATGACAACCCGGGACTTAGCGGTGGTCAGGCAGAAGAGGAGCGGAGAGTGCTGCCGCTGCCTGAGGCGAGATGCGCAAAGTGCCGTGCTGCTTAACAGCCTTCCAGAGGGACGCACAAGGGAAGCCAGGCCCGGCCACCTAACACACATTTCCGCGAAGGAAACCGTAAGCA